AATTCAGTTATCAGAGATAACGGTAACTGAGTATAATTCTAGATAATGGAATTAATACCAATTACTATTCTCATATGAACTGGTCTTATAAGAAGCTAATTTGATAAAACAACCACTCTGATCAACTTCCAAAAAAGATATTTCCACATGAAAGCAGACTAGGTGAATAGGCTTATAAACCAACAGTGAAGAGTTCTAATCTAACTAGCAGCTTTTTCTTTATTGTGGTTGGTTTCCTGACAATTAAAAGTTTTCAGCATTGTCTGAGGCATGAGATTTGGGAGTTAACATTAACTTCAGCACACAAAGAATGTTGATTTTCCATTAAAATTCACAAATGCAAACTACAGACCCAGTTTAATAAAATAGTTACATTTTTAATTAAACTCTTACTGTTATAAAGGTAGACATAAAATCAGAGTTCAGTTTAGCATTAGACATATATTTTCAAATTGACACCCATTTTAAATCCCCTTCACTAAGTTCTCCTTAAAGACTTCATTTTTTCACAAAAATAGATTCTCCAAAGATATGGTGGTCAAATAAAACATAAATAAGCAAATAAAACAGCAAGAAAAAATTATTCTAAACTCTAGAGTGTGTGGCCTTGGTTAAATGTAAATAAATGGAAGAACTGCTCAAATAAAAAGAATTGACAAAGTTCACAATAAGCAATAACAAGAAAAAGAAAAGAATATGACCAAAAATAATACAAAGCAAGCAAACAATATATGCAAGGCAAATTAACAGTAATAAGGCAAATCAACAGTAATAAGATAGAACATTTATAAACTAAAAATTGGTGTTGAAATACAAGAGTGAATTCGGATAAGCCAATGTAGAATTCTGACTTCAAGACAATATAAACCAGGACTGAGTCAGATAAAATCCGAGAACTGCCCTATTTGATTGGCTAGGAAGAAATTCCAGAATGTATTTGTGTTCTGCCTATAAATTGGGACAGAAAAAGTGTTTTGCTGTCATTACTATCCAGGATTGGAACCAACATAGCAATATTTATATTTTGTTTTTATTTATCATTTATATATTTATATTTATTTATAAATATATTTATATTTTGTTTTTATTTATCATTTATATATTTATATTTATGTATAAATATATTTATATTTTGTTTTATTTATCATTTATATATTTATATTTATGTATAAATATATTTATATTTTGTTTTTATTTATCATTTATATATTTATATTTATTTATAAATATATTTATATATTTTTTTATTTATCATTTATATATTTATATTTATCTATAAATATATTTATATTTTGTTTTTTATTTATCATTTATATATTTATATTTATCTATAAATATATTTATATTTTGTTTTTATTTATCATTTATATAGTTCTATTTATTTATAAATATATTTATATTTTGTTTTTATTTATCATTTTATGTAGGAATTGTAAAGAAAGAAAAATTATTAAGGTCTAGAAATATCAATTTTTCCATTCAAATCATTTTTATAAAATAAATACCATGGACAGAATATGCAAGTAATGAGAAAGTTTTAAGGTTAATTTGAAAAAAAGGACACATACTTAGAACCAGAAAGAGACAGTTGAAATTTCTGGGACATCTTATAAGGAAAGAGGGCTTGGAGAATTTGTCACTCACAAGACAGTGAAGTTTAACAGAAGCAGAAGGAAACAGAAGGAAACATTGAGCAATTTACTTAATGAGCTTGTGTAAATGACTAGCAGAACAGGGACTAGCAAAAATAGTAAGGGGATAAATATAGCTTAAAGTTACAAAAGAGACATGACATATAAAAGAACGTTATAGATAAATTAATGAATTCATTAAAAGAAATTGAGTAAATTATTTTGTTACTTTTATGAACAAATAAGAAATTTTTCAGAAGTTGTACTTTTTTAAAATCAAGTTCACCCCAAGCAAGGTATTAATCCATTAAGACACAAGGAGTTAATGTGTTTGGAAAAGTTAGAAACATGAACATTACTAAGGAGCAAGAACAAAGGAAGAGTAACCAGGAGGATAACAGAGAGTAATTGACATTGCATTTAAATTTTTGCAGATTAAATTTGACTGGAATGCATAGAGCCAGAAGGGAGTTCCATATGCAAGAAGTGTGAGAAAAGAAACAGTTAGCATAGAATTTAGGGTTACATCTAGTCATCTCAACTGTAAATTGGCGAGACCTAGTCACCACTCTAGTACTGCGCTTCAATTTGAAGAGTCTAGGCACCATAATTCATCAGAACAATTACCATAAAAAGTATTTATAGAAAAGGCAAAGGGAGGGGAAGCTTATGGTGGTAGGAAAATGACTTAAGACAAGACGCCATATGTGAGCAAATAATATTGCTGATTCTTCTTTGGATCATATCAAGGAGCACCGGCAGCAATATGTGGCAGCAATATTCTAAGCATGGATGAATGGTAGACTTATTGATATGTGAGATAGATTCCAAAGAGGAAAACCATCCAGCATGACACAGTGAACCAACTTTCCTGGCAGCTGACCTAGCAATGGATTCAATATAGTCTTTCCACTTCATGTCAGCCAAGAACATTAGCCCCAAAAAGTGCAGCAAATCACACTCTTGGTAGTCAGAATCAGCCATGCTAATGGAAGGCAAAGAGGGGTCTCTCAGATGATGAATAGTGAGCAGTTTAGCTTTGGAAGCAATAAAATTAACATGCCATCCTTTACCCCAATTGACAACAGACTGAAGATTGTTGTGGATATCCACTGCTATTTTGACCTTACCACACTGAACAGACTTACTATAGAGACAGGAGTAAATGCTTGTGTCATCAGTGTAGATACCAAGTTGAAAAGGTCATTAATGAAAATCCCAAACTATGTAGGACCAAGGATGGAGCCCTGGGGGACACCTGCATTAGAGAAAGTGGCTATTCAGTATATTTTAGAAAATTTAAATTATTACATATATATGTGTGTGTGTGTGTGTGTGTGTATGTAGGCACAGTGGAGAATTGGATAGCAAGTCAGACTGAGGAATTGGAAATCCAATCAAGTTTCTTACATTTACTTATGTGCAAATACTCTTGGGAAAGATATAAATCTTCTCTTCCTCCCCCAGTTATGGTTAAGTAGCAAGACAAACTGGGTCCTATAGCCTTGGATGGCAACTATTAGAGGAGATGGTCAATATATTTTGATAATTTATATTTTAATATACATTTTGAAATATAGGATTTCTAAAGTTTCACATTTAGAGTTGTTAAATTTTCAAAATATACCATTAATAAATGTCAACATAGCTTACTTACTTTATACATTACTTACCTCCCCTTATTCGCTTTATTGCTATTTTTGTTAAGCTGAAAAGGTTTTATTTGAATAAATAATTTAAATATAATAATCATCAACAAATAATTATTTATTTATAAAGATCATAAGTCTAAATGAGAAATGAATAACAAGAATTATTTTTTAAATTGGATTTTTAAAACTGAATATGAAAATTCATTATTATTAACCTTTAACACTCTGAATTATTAATATTACTTCCCTTTCCAATGCATTATTTTTCAAGGCCTCTCAATTGCAGTATACTTATTGTTAATTTTACTCAAAGGTGTTTTCTGTTGCCCTAGCGGGATATGACAACATGACTATGAAATTCAAACAAATTCAGATTCAGAGATCAGAGTCACCTTCAGTGGCAGGATAAACATTTTGCACAGCAAATGAAGTTATATAAAGAGTGATGAAGGTTAAGTAAAAACTGCTAAGTTGGGAAAGATATCATATACATGCTTTTACATATAAATGATAAAACTGAATTTCTTATGCAGTTCCTTTTATTAAGTTTAAAGCCTTTTTTTCCAGGCATTATTCCTTCTTCAAAAGGCACTAGGGTCATTAAATGACACCTGAGGTGTTCTCAAAGAAGAATTGCTGAGGGAACTTGAGCAACTTTTGACACTTGGTGCATGTACATGTGGGTACCCACTGTAAACCTGAACTTGTGACACATTTTGTCTCAGGTAGATATCATACTTATTATAAAACCCAGGTTGTGTGTGTGTGTCTGTACGTTTATATATTGGATCGGATTTCCTACATTTTTCAACTGATTTCAACAAAACTTCACAGGACTACGTAAAATTACCTTGCGGTGGTTCTGACAGTGCCAAAAATTGGAAAAAAACAATTGCTTTTGCATGAAATCAATTTGAAAACATGATTAAGAGGCATCACTGTCGCCAGAATGAAAGGGGGACAACTCATATCGAGTTATACTTATTATAAAACCCAGGTTGTTTGTGTGTGTGTGTTCATTTATATATGGGATCGAATTTCCTACATTTTTTAATCGATTTCAACAAAACTTCACATTTTTTTGGCAGGTAGTGTTTCTTATTGTCTTGCACACTTTTTTCTTTATTCTTACATTCAGAATGCTTTAAAAATTCCATTTACAAGACAATTGTTTATAATAAAATTCTATTCAATTGGTAGACTCATCATAACGATTGAAAACAATGTTTTTGTTTGAGTTTGGGTTTGACCAATTCATAAAAAAAAAAAAAAAAAATAATTAAGACATGCGTGTCCGTCAACCTTAAACAATAATCTTTGTCAATTTTATTTTTCAGTCTTTATGACTCTTCCAGGCCTATATTAAGTAGGCGACATAGCACTCTACAGAGTGACACAGAGTCAGACAGAGACAGTCTAGTACGACTGCCAGTGTTGGACACTAACTTATAGTAAGCTCTGCTTACACTATCTCTGTAACCTGTTGTTAATATATCTTTCTTACATCTAATCCATGTTCCATGTTTTACTTCTGTGGTCCCAACTTTGGCCCTACATCACTAATTAACCCATAACTGGTGGGAGAAGAAGTGGATTCATACCTTTCCCAAGGGTATTTGGATATAAATGAATATAATGAACCCAACCAAAATTGGAACTCATCTCTCTGATGAAAAATTCCAAGGCATTATCCATTACACCACAGGCACATCTAAGCGTACAGTACATAGTATTCCCAAGCAGTTACCCATCTAGGTACTGACCAGGCTCAATGTTGCTTAATTTCAGTGATCTTACAGGAACCAGTGTTTTAATGTGATGCAGTTGCAAGCTGACATATCTAAGTGAGTTTCAACTGGACACACACATACACAAAAAAAAAAAACTTATGTATTAGGCTAAATAAGAATAAAAGAAACATTTTTTTTTTTAATAGAATGATTACATTTTGACTAAATTAAGACTAAGTTAAACCATGTTCTTTTTTTCGTTGGGGAGAAAGTGAAGACGATTCTCTTTGGGGAATTTTATCAGGTGGCGGTGCAAGTGCAAGAAATTCAGATTTTTCAAGAAGCTTAAATGTTCATATACCTGTTTTAAGATGGCTTACTCGACAGGGGAAAAATCTTGTGATGAAGTTGGAAAGTAATCATTAGTTTTTTTTTGGCCAGAAGGTATTGTCTATGGAATTACCATTTGCTTGATTGCTTTATCTATGAATTTGTTGCCGATCTTTTTCAGTTTCTGCTTTATTTAGTTGTTCAGAGAATCAATTTTCTGAATGCAATTTCAAGTGTCTAAAACATGTGTTGTTACAGCAGGGGAAGTTGGATGAGTCAGCACTGTTTAGTGTACACAGACATTTTTTTTAACACTGGGTACATATGACAGTGCAGAACTTTGTCTGTGCAATATATATATATAATTATTTTTATTATAGGTTATAATAAAAACATGTTGAAATCGCTACACAAAAGCTTTCATGTTTCAATACTTTGATTGTACTTCTCTCATTTGAATATATATATAGTATAATATAATATATATAATTCTAGTCTTATACTTAAAAGCTCTACATGTTAAATTTCTATCTGTGTATTGAGCACTTTTTTAACACTGTTGTTTCCTGGTGTAATTCAATTCTGACCATTAAATTTTTATTATGCATTTCTGACAAAATTGTGTATTTGGGCAGCAACCTCCCTTTTATGCAAGTTTTGTTAGAAATGATGAGGCTATTATACTTGTATTTTCTACTAGTATGTTTTGGATAGAGTTTGGTAGGTTTTAGTATGTGTTTAAATAAGTCCTAATGGAGCTGTCTAGATTAGTATGTAGTAGTAGTATGACCAATATAATTATTTATGAGTTTGGTTTGATCAGGAAAACAGTTCCTTAAGAGGCATTAGAAGTCATCAATAATATTGGTTCTGAGTAGTTTTGATTTTGCAGGTCCATTGTTATTTTTTTATAAGCCTAGGTTTTTTTTAATTTTTTGTAATAGACAATTAATATATATATATATATATATATATATATATATATATAAATATATATAAATATATATATATATATATATAAATATATATATATATATATATATATATATATATATATATATATAAATATATATATATATATATATATATATATATATATATATATATATATATATATATATATAAATATAAATATATATATATATATATATATATATATATATATATGCATGTGTGAATCTATGTATTCAATGAAATAAATGGAAAGAGGCATAAGCATATGCATATATATATATATATATATATATATATATATAATTAAATTAATTGATTTAAAATATGTTTTTTTCGCTACACAGTTCTAGAACTGTGTAGCGAAAAAAAATATTTTTAAATCAATTAATTTATAATATTATGCTCTGTAAATTTACATTGAGCACTATTTTGTAAAAATAAAAATATTTATAAGAACACAGGATTATATATCTTACTGTTCTTTCTTTTTATTTATATATACATATATGTATATATATATATATTGTAATATATAATTAATATAAATCAATGAAATAAATAGAAAGAGGTATGCACTGTACATGGTTATTTTATAGAAAATAGTGTTTCTATGTCTGAAAAAGAGAGAAAATATGTGTATTTTTTTAAGAGAGCATTTTGTATGAAAGATCAAAAGAGAGAATTATGTACCTCAAATATGAAAGAGAAAAACATGTGAGCATACAACTTATGTAGGAATATTGCCTGACCCAGGGATTGGCCACATCCGGCCCTCAAAGGATTTCTGTCTGGCCCACCAACTTAACACATGGACACTTATTATCTAATTAATTTGTGAAGCAAGTGGCAGAATAAATATCAGTTGAAGTTAATTAACTTACAATGTGATGAATTTTGAATTCAAATTTGAATTCCAAATCCACTGATACAAAAAATATGTTTTGCCAAGTGGAAAATATAAAATCCTATTGAATAATAGGAAAATGATGCTATCATTATTTGGAAGCTTGTGAACAGCTTTTTTGAAAATGAAATATACTAAAAGTCGGTTAAGAACAGGGTTGGGTAATAATCACCTTGATGACGTTTTGCTCCTGTCATCGACAAATATTTGTCCCCATGTTGAGGAGTTATCAAACAATAAGGAGAAAACAAGTGTTTCATTAAATAATTTGCCATTTCTAACTGTATTTCATTTGTAGTAAAGAATTTGCATTTTTTGTTGATGCTAGTTGTTATCTTGTAATTTCTGAAGTAAAATAGAGAAACTTGTTTAAATAATATAACATTAACTTTGTTGTTTTTTCTTTAAACCTCTAGACCAAGGCAGCCTTCTGGACAAAGCAGTCTGAGGCTGAGATAATTTATTATAGTAAATTTGATATCATGGCCTTCCTCCAAGACACTGCATAGGTGTCTGGCCAACTCTCTCCAAAAGGTTGCTCACCCCTGGCTTAGCTGTAGGTCTTAATGTGTATTATGTACACATGAGAGAAGAAGAGAATGACTGATCATAAGTATAGTATGCATAGTCTCTCTGCCCATATAATATATATATATATATATATATATATATATATATATATATGCACTAGTAATAAATAATAGGTAGGCATAGTACTGTGCAGTGTACAATCGAGGCAACATATACCAGTGTTAAAGAATTTGAAAACAAACGTTTATGATTAAAAAAGACACTAGGAAAATCTATACTTAGTCGATGCGTTTTGTCATTTGACAGACTTTATCAAGGCAAATGTAATGTAATTTCATTTTGTCTTTTCTACAGATACATTCCATCTGAGAATATTAACATAAACGTTTATATGAAGATCTTTTTCACTTAGACATTCTTCAAAAAGGAAAATGTTCAGTGTGCATTCAAGAAGTGGGAAAGTGAAACTTAAGACATTTTATGTGTGCATAAAAAAGAAAAGTTGAATGTCCAATGAGCTCAGATTAATTTATGTAAGCATTGTAAGCAAGAATGAAAGAGACTGTATGGCAGACAGATCTCACCACCAAGAGACATGAAAAGTATCATTTCACATGTTAAACAAATTAAAGTCCACTTCATCTTATAGCAAGATATCTTTTGGATTTCCTCTCAATATTCAAGATTTCAGCATTGTACGTGACTATATATATATATATATATATATATATATATATATATATATATATATATATATATATATATATATATATAAATAAAAAAAGAAAGAACAGTAAGATATATAATCCGGTGTTCTTATAGATATTTTTATTTTTACAAAATAGTGCTTAATGTAAATTTACAGAGCATTAATATTATAAATTAATTGATTTAGCGGAAAAAACATATTTTAAATCAATTAATTTATAATATACACTATATATATATATATATATTACAGTTCAAAAGTTTAAAGCCATTTCCAGAATTAGCATGGGATGAACTTGAAAGAAGAGTAAAAAAAAAAAATTTAAGTGGATCTCTTAAAAGAATGGAATCAATTATCAAACTTATACTTTGAGAAACTTTTGCAATTAATGCCAAAAATTAGTGTTGCAGTAATCAAGGCTAAAGGTGGATATTTTGATGAGAGCAAAATTTAATCATAAAATGCTTTTCTTTTTGTCGTAACAAAATTTCTAATAAATAAATCATGTCTCACTTTTTTTAACCATGTATAATAGTTTTCTCTTATTTAAAGAAACTACTTTTTAATAATTTAAAAATTACCAGATGTTGCCTCAAACTTTTGAACTGTAGTATATATATATATATATGGAAGCACAGTGGAGCTCAAACTGAGAAATCTGAAGATGAGTCTGAATTCCAGTTGAGTGTGTTACATTCACTTATGTGCAAATACTCCTGGGAAAGGTATGAATCCATCTCTTCTTGCTTCCAGCTATTGTTAAATAACAGGACAACCTGGATCCTATAGCCTTGGATGGCAACCAGTATAAGAGAAGGAAAACTCTGAATTCACAAGCTGAAGAGAGTCATCTGGAGATCTTGTGGCACACTATATGCAGTGTACTCCTCCAAAAAAGTGTGGTTAGTTCTGCACAAGCCTTCACTGCTATTAAATTATGTGTGCAAGTTGTCTGGCTGTTCGGTTCTAAGAACTAAGTTGGTGTAGCTGCATATGTCAAAAACAATCCAGCATATATACAATAAAAATAGACTTTTAAGGCATGCTATATTTATGGGTTAAAGTTCTTAATATAAGGGATAGCAAACCACTCACATTCCCTTCATATTCTGTTAGTAAGATGTAAGTTCCACTCAAACAGCTTCTTCCTGCAAACCACTGGTCTATGGAACAGACTTCCAAGAGAATGTTTCCCAACCACTACAATCATAATCTGTTCAAATCTAGAGTTAATCGTTATCTTCTCCTCCTATCCATATAAACTAACCCTTAATGTATCCAATTACCTCAAAGTGGCCACCAGGCCTTGAACAGGGTGAACTTTACTGTAAAAAAATATGTAAATATAAAGATGGACCTTGAGATCAACACCCAGTGAGGGATAGTCTGTTTTATGCTTAAACACAATCTTCAGATTATTTACACACACACACACACAAACACATATATATGATGGACTGTTCTATCATGAACGGTAAATAAGGGTTAGCATTAGATGGTGGTTAGCATTTGATGGTGGTTAGCATTTGATGGTGGTTAGCATTTGATGGTGGTTTTCATTTTACACTTATGCATGCTAGCAGAGGCTATTGTGCAGAAAATCAGGCAAGGGAAAGACATATTTCATTTGTGCTTTCTTAAGTGTGATACTTGCTGT